ACAGCTGCTAGCAAGGTACCAAGGAAATCAGATATACGGGATTAGAAATGGCTGCCAGTTGCAAGATACACACGTTAGCTCATCAGTAATTAATTATTTTTAACTCTGAAAAGCAGTATGTTAATGTATCCATCTGATTTTTGACGATTTAGTGTTGTGGCAGAGTACCCGACACACCGCTACTATCACATTGTTCTTTACAATGAGAATGTTTTATTGTTATGAAAGGTTTGTATTCTAAGCATCAGGGCTGGCCTCAGAAATGGATAATTTGGGTGACTGCACTAAGAACGCAAGGGATTCTCTCCTTTTTCCAGACTCACTGAGGAACTGTCTTGTGCATCTGAAACATTTTGGCAGCAGTATGCAAGGCAAAGATGCAGGCACTGCTCTCATTGTAGAAGCAGTATTTCATTCATTTGAAAATCTGACAGTCTTCATTGCAGTCACAACCTGATGCCATGACAGTAGTTTGTGAGGCTGGGGAGTGAGGGAAAAAGAGGAACTGAAATACAGAGTGAAAGTAAAGATGACAACGCAGGGAAGAGGGAATGACAACACAATCGATGAAGAAAAAGGAATAAAGATTGAGATGGGCAGGAAGGGAAATTATCCGAGAAAATAAAAGAAGGAAAGTGAAGAGAGAAAAATATATATTTTTTTAATTCCAGCCTTTTAGACACAGATAGTGAGTGCTATTTCAAAAGAAGCCATTGGAGGCAACCAGAAATGGAAATGGAAGTAGGAAAAGAACATTCACTGAAAAAATTGAAGGCAGTTGTTTTGTTTGGGTTTTTTTTGTTGTTGTTGTTTTTTAATTTTTGTGTGTGATTTTTGTTTGGTTTTGCTCTTTTTTTCTTTTTTTCTTTTTTTTTTTTAATAAAATAAAATGTGAGGAGGAGAGAATTTGATCTGGCTTTTATAGCTTTGTCCCAACCGCAGTCATTTCTTACAAGGTTTCCAGTAGAGGACCTTCAGACTCTTTCCTCCTAAAACCTGAGGCTTAAAATTCAAAAATTCAAAGTCGACATCAGACTGAGCATTCCTGCTTGATACATCCTCTTTTTTCTTATCCTACCTGCACTTTGCTTCTGCTGAGATGCAGGAGCAGTGTTAGTGCCTATCTACACATCCCCAGCAAGGCTTCACCACTGGAAGAACCCACGCAGAGCCTAACCAGGCTTTCATTTTTCCCAGCTGAACAAGGTTTCTGTGTGTTGCCTCCCCCCAAATTCATACCCTACCTGCACCACAACCTTGTAGACAACCTGACTTGGGCTCAGCTTCCTTCTAGCAGCAGGAACAGTGAATGTATGGGGGTGCCAGTGCCAGCTCACTCAGGGCAGTGTTTTCTCAAGGCCCAGACCTGCTGGGAACTTACTACGTACATCAAAAATGTCACTCCAGTCTTAATCATGGCTAAATGCTGTAGATTGTATTGTGAAGGACTTGATCTGTTTACTATGAAACCATTGTAATTTCTGCTTCCATATTTCCTTTACAAAAGTATTCCTGGATATTACATGATAACCTTATTATGTGAAAGTACATGCAAACTGTAGAGTGTATATATTGTGTCATTATGTGGGGTCCATGGATGGGTACACTGTGCTCCACGGCTCACACCAGAGCAAACTTCAGCTGTTCAATCCTGAAAGACGCCTTGAAGCACAATTTCCTCACCACTGATTTGCCATATAATTTACCACATTCAGCCTTTCCTGTTTTCTTTAATGTGCAGTCTGGTTATACAAAGACCTGCTTACAACAGTAATTTTGCGAGGATAAATAGATTTTTTCCACATTTGCATTCATTTAACTTATTTGAATGTCTGCAGTTCATCCAGGCGTATTTGAAAGTTTAAAGTACAATTCAAAATTTTAAAACTTACAAGTTTTTAGGCTTTTTTTCTTTTTTTCTGAGTGGTTCATGGTGCCTTTCTTGCCTTTTATATGAAGCTTCCTGCCAGCCTAAGCATACATCCACCCTTAGGTTCAGCTCAGGAGCACGACATGAGGCACATGACAACATGCGTCAGTAACAAAACTCTCTTCCCCTCCTGGATGGGACAGAAAACTGAAGGCACCATGAATTGGCCTGCAATCTTCCACCTTTGCCTGCTTGAGCCAATCACTGCCTCCCACTGAGCCAGGAAGGAGGCAGTGGGAGGACTTAGCTTTGGCTCTGACTGTACACATCCAGTACCAGAAGCAGGGCCTTGGGTTTTGCTGATAATTTATCTCACAGAAACTTGGTATTTTTGCCTTAAATGACATGCTTGAGTCCTTCTAATTTTAAGTTAATTTATTTAATACAATGTTGTGCACAAAAGAATGAATTCTATAAATTATGTATAAAAATGTTAATGTCTTTACAAAGTAATAATAAATCTAGAATATCGTATCTTTTCAAATCATGGTTTAAAAACCTGATTTTTTTTTTCTTTTATGCTCACCATTATTATTTTTGTAGCTGCAAGTCTTATCATATAGGATTTTTTTTTTAACATAATATTGATAGAAAATAGAAAGAGTAGTGACTATATGAAATTATGGAGAGGAAGAATTGTTTGTTTGGATTTTTATAAGCTTTTCTCATATTTTATCATCGGGAATTTCCTGTTTCTGCACTCTCTCTTTAAACGACAGTGTCATGACTGACAGTCATTCATTGATTTCACAAAAGAATGACCTGTCTGGCTTTTCAAGTCTTGTCTTGAGCCGCTTATTAAATTCAAGCTCATGATAGCTAATAAGAATTTCTTATGATTAGGGACAGAGGACAAAATTTCTTCTGACTTGCAATCCATTAGAGGGTTGCTGAAGAGAGAATTTGAACCTAGTAAAAGCTTCAGGAATTAAGCTTTATCCAAATAACTGTTTTCTGATCAGTATGTTTCTTGTATTCGATTGAAGAGAGAACCAAAAAGAATAGTTTTGATGATTATTATTTCTTTAAGAATTTGTATTTGTTCCTGGCTTACATGATCTATACGTTTTATTTAAATATGAATATAGTGTTCTAGCCTAGGATTCAAGATTGCAAAGATCATACACTTTTATTCACAGTGCCCACGGTTGTTACATATTTTCAAGTTAATACTATCTAGAGTGACTGCTCTCATTACAGCATGGTGATGAGCAATTCACCTGCTCTTCTGCAGTAAGTCAAATCATACTGAATTGCTGATGTAGTAGAACATCTGAAGTAGAGTAGTATTTCTGGATTGAGACCTGCAATCCTTACTCAAGCAAAAATTCTACCGAATTCAGTAAGAATTTTTCTTGACTCGAGAGCTCAGATTCAAATACTTACCTTGTTGGGCATCTGTTTAAAGTGAAGATGGTAATATTCCAATTATTTCCTGAGGAAAGTAATACTTAGCTGAATTTACCCATGTCACATTGACTATATAAGAGATAACGCACAAAGTACTGATGTAAAAAGGGAAGAAGGAACATTTTAAAAAAGCACATAGGAAAGGAAAATAATCATAAAAGAGGAGTAAGGGGGAAAAGAAATATAACAGCAAAGGAATGAAAAAAAAAAAAAAAAAAAAATTTAAAGACCTGAGGCTAAATTCATCCTTGGATGGCTTCACTTGACTTCAATGAATTCTCTACCCAGCTGGGTGAAGTTCAGCCTTTGCTGAGATAACCAGGCTCAGTTCCACTGACCTTCAAGGAACTGAACCCACCTATACCAGGAATGAACTTGCCTCTCTGGGCCAACTTTTGTCCTGACTCACATGTCATGCAATCCTTTTGGATTATCTACAGAATCATTAGGTTTGAATGAGATACAGGTCAGAAAAGAATTTGCCCCAGATACTTCTGCTTCAGTTTTTTGTTGTTTTTTTTTTCAAGTGTGTTAATCGACTTAATTCAAATGGATTACAACATCACACAAAGTGCTGTCATTGTCTAAAAACTGGTTTTTGAAATAAGAATTGTGCCCCTCAGGGTCAGTGGAAGCATGTAATATTTTCCTGTTTGTTTATCTGGACGCAGATATGGCTGTACCCTGAGCTATGCACAGGACAATTCCAGACATACCCAACATCACCTGCTATTGGAAGCATTTTTTACTTCTTTGCAAGATAAAATGCCAGTTTGGCAACAGGGTAAGGGCGTATGTAAAGCTGTTACCACTGACCCTGCAGGGGCATTAGCCAGTACATTACAATGTTAATTGTAACTTCTTGACAAAGTTGAATCCATATTGTTGTTAATAAAAATCATTTGGAAAGTACCACTCATGCTTCGTCTGCGAGTGCTTTTTGTGGTTGTTCTTTACATTAAAAAACTACATCTTTTTGTGGCAAAATACCACGAAGGACGTTTGCTGATGTAAAATATGGACATAACAGCCTGATACACCCAGATTCTGGTACCCATTTACAGCAGAACTTACTGAAGTTTTGGAGGCAGCAGTTCAGGATTAGCTGGGCTGTGAAGCAGGCAGTGTGTGAGGAGCCCGCAGCAGCTGCCCTGCCTGCTGCATGAGGCCATTGGGGATGCACTGTGACAGCTGGGTGCTGGAGCATGGCCTTCCTTGCCTGGCTCTTTCTGCAGTGAACACGAATGCTGGGTTTTTTACGTTTTCAACTTTTGGTGTTGAATTTTTATTTTTATTTTACCGTGACAGTGACCAAACACTGGCACAGGTTGTCCAGAAGAGGCTCCACAGTAGGCCAGATACCGCCAGCAGCACGGCCCTACACACTTGCCAGTCCCACAGGACCTCGAGCCGGGTCGGCTCGGCTCACCCAAGCACCCTCTAAACCACGAAGCCCGCCCTCAAAGGTCGCGCAGACACAGCGCCCGAGCGCTGCGAGGGCGGGGACTCAGCCCGGGCAGGAGCGGCCGTAGGCTCCCCTACCCGCGCGCCGTCCCAGAAGCCAGCCAATCGCTGATCGGAGAGCCACTGGCGCTGGCCAATCCGTGCGCTCACAGCCTATAGGGCGGCCTGGCACGCTACGCGCATCGAGTAAGCGGGGATGTCCGACTGGGAGGAGAGCGGCGACGAGGCCGCGGGGGCGCCGCCGTCTTCCGCGGTTGCTACCGCGCCCCTGTGGCAGCCGCCGGCCACCCCTCGGCCGAACAGCTCGCCGACAGAGGGCGAGCTGGGGCGAAGGGGCTCGGAGTGGCGGCAGGAGGCGGCAGCGAGCGTCGGAGGAGAGGAACGGGAATCCGGCGTGGTTGGCAGCCGCCGAAGTCAGGCAGCGCGATGGCGGCGCCCGAGAGCCGCCGCAGGCAGAGCTCAGGAGGCTGGGGAGCCTCTCTGCTTCCTCATCAGCAGGGCCCTGGCCGGGGTTTTGATAGGTAACGGCAGCCGCGCCCCCTGTTAGCATTTAGTTTGTGAGAGTGTGGCTTGTGCTGTAGGTGTTACAGAAGTTTCTCCTTGTAACAGGTCGGGGAGGAGCTAAAATAAGAGAACTTGAGGAATCTTCGGGTTCTAGGATACAGGTACTGTGTGTCTTTCAGGAACTTGAGTCATAGAGTCATGGAATGGTTTGGATTGCAAGGGACCTTCAAGATCATGTAGCTCCAATCCCTGCTAAAAGCAGGGACGCCTCCCTCAGACCTGCTTTGTTGCTCAAAGTTGCTTAAAGCCCCATCCAGCCTGGCCTTGCAGGTGGAGCTTACTGGTTTTTGTCTGTGAGGTTGTTTTTTTTCTGGTTTTCCATATTTCTTTTAAGAAGGGGATTAAAGGGCCTTTCCCGAGGAGAGAAATTCAAATTTGGAAGAAAAACTAAAGATTGTTTGCAGTGCATACTTTTATTTATATACAAGTTCACCCGGTCTGTGTAGTATTAAAAACTCAGTGGAGTTTTATGAATGCAGGTTATTAAGGGAGCCTCTGAAGCAGAAGTGAAGATTTTCGGCAGTGTTGCTGTGCAGAACAAAGCCAAGGTGCTGATTGATGAAACAGTTGTAAGCTGTGGACAAAGCAACTGTAGAGGTGGGTCTGAGAAATTTAAGAAGTGTATTATGGGAGGGGGAAAAAAGACTGTAGGTCATCTTACTCTCTGTTGGTAGTTTGAAGTGGTTTTATGTTCTTAGTATTTTATCAAAGTGAAATGACTGACCTTGATTTTAAAGCAGAACTATCTAGACATCCTCCCCTGTCAGCTGGCAATGGCTTTCCTCCTTCAGGTAAGACGTCTGTGAATATCTCTTCCCAGGTGTTTCCAACAATTTTAATAGATGTTATACTGTTTGCTTTTTTGCATTATCAGTCTTATCATTTAAAAATCCAAATATCTCTTCTAGGATAGGTTTTAATGTAGTATCTTGGCAATAATGAAATTAAGTTTGTACAGATGTAGGCTATAAAACTAACGTACCAATCACGGTAAGGGTGGATCCTTTTCACAGGGCATTAACGTTGATGGTTTGGTGTTGCACATCATGCTTCATTTTACTGGGCTTCAGTGCATTATGTGGCTATGTAAGTAATGATTGTACATGAAGATGCTGGTATTTGATGTTTGGCTTGTTTAACTGCACAGTAAGTCCTGAGGGAAAAGAACCACATCCATAGTTGTTGCTCTGAGGCACTGATGAGGGAAAAAAAAAATTAAGAATAGTGTTCCAGATTTAGAATAAGGAATGGAGTAGCTGTGAATGCAGGCTTTCAGAAGTGCCTCAGAAGGTACTCTGGAATGTTTTATTCAAGAAGCCAGGATTAAGTAATGTATCCTACATGTGTGTAACTGTCGTTTTCCCTTGTATTTCATTCTTTTCAATAACAAATGTGTTGTCATTTATATTTCCAGTGTAAAAACTCACTTTCATGAGAAGCATGAACCTCATCAAAAAGGGCGTAACTTCACAGAAACTTTATTTTGGTGACACTGGATGCTTTAGAAGTAAATCTTGCTCTTGTAGCTGTTGAAATTAAACTTTGTTTGCTTTCACCTGCCTGACTCAAAACTTTCCCAAAAGCCCCATGCTCAGCAAGCCATGTGTACAACTGGAGGAGCAGCATTCTGGATCTTGTCCTTCCTCTAGTTAAAGATGTTTAAATGCTTCCTTTCTTACCAGAAGTGTGTTCGCACTGGTTTTTCTGCTAATCTTTCAGACTGAGACCTAAGAAAGAACTCTCTTTAAGTGTTTCATGTCTACTTAAAATCGCATAAGAGTTTGCAGTACAAAAAGAAAATAAGGTTTGTGTTTGGGGGGAGAGAGGTTCAATGTTTCCAATGGATCTATCAGACAACAACTTTGATACTGACTCCACAGGAAAATCCTTGGATGTTATCAATCCTGAGAATACTCCAAAGAAACCCGTGATTGACTGGGCCTCTCTTCGAGAAAACAGAGCTAAATATGAGGCTATGAAGTGGGCAGGTTAGTTCTAAAATGTTGCTTGTATGGTATTCTTTCACATTATAGATCTCTTGCATGTGTCAACATTCGTAATTTTTGCTTTGAGGCTACTGAATCTTTCAGTGTCCAAATTAGTTAAGGGTATTCATGAAGTGAGCATGTCAGCATTTCTTAGAATGGTCATGGAGGATACTAGTCACTGTGATGAGTCTGCAATTACTAGATTAATGGTTTTTTACTTCAGCCTTTGAAAACGCAATGGTTTTGTAGCACTGTAGTGACTGCAGCAAAAATCTGAATGTTATTAAAATATTGTACTGGATACATCAGCAGATATTATTTTAGTGCTTGGAAGGCAGGGTATGGTTCTTTTGCAGGTGTTTTAAGTGTTTCTCATAGTTTTCAGCTTTTGCTCAAACTGCTGTGGCCTACCACTGTGTTTTGACTAGCTGTCTAGTACTAGGCATAGACTACTTGGATTTGAGATTTCCACCTTAAGCTTTAAAAGACTTACTCTAAATGACCAGCATTTCTTCCTGACTTGCTTTCTTGTGATTGTTTAAGACCTGCCTCCAATTGAGAAAAACTTCTATAAAGAATCATCAAGGGCTGCATCCATGTCACCAGAAGAAGTAAAACTGTGGCGGTAAGATCATTTCTGTAGGGAATTGTGTGCTTGGCAGAAAGGACTGTTAGCATAACAAAACCTGTGTGGTGGGTGATGAAATACTGAGACAGCTATTAATATTACTGTCTAGCGGTAACCTGGCTCTTCTTAGGGGCTCTTTATTTGGAATTAAACAGCTTTCATTACTTATTGCATGGTTTGGTGGTGGTTTTTTTTTCCTCTTTTACCTTTTCACAGTGTGGGAATTTACACTGTTTCCGTAGCAGTGTTATTGTTCTAGCTAGTCAAGAGCAGCAGAACATTGTTTTGTGGGTTCAGAACTTGCACTGAGCAATAGTAGCACTTCTCTTATAAACAGAGGAATGTTTTTCACTTTATGCCTTAGTTTTAGGGGAAGAGTAAAAGATCCTGAAAAAATGTATTTCTATGAACATGAGAAGTTGAATTTCTCATACTTTTCCTAGCCTACCCACAGCTTGAAGTAAAACTATTTGCAGAATTGAGTCTTCTGAACAGAAGAGGACAGGGATAACGATCAAATACTTATCCGTATTAACACCTCAAAACTCAATTTTCATATTGCTTTTGTGACTTTTTTTAAGCACCTTTTTTCTAACATGTTTCATCTTTATTTTCTAGAATGTCAAGGAAGCTGCTCCAGAAGTATTTGGGGAAGGTTTTAGCCGAAATATAGTGTTCTAACAAAGAAGTTTAGTCCATTCCCAACAGTCATCTTTGGATATAAAACTTTTAGCAGCTCTTTAACTTCTAATAGAGTGTGACTGAAGTCTGATATGACAGCACTGCAGTCCTTCTTAATATCCATGCATGATTTCCAGTCCTTCATTCTTAAGAAAGATTTAACTTATGAGAATAATTCACTGACTAATCATGAGTCCTATGGAAGCATTTCTCCAGTGAGGGTTATTTGAAAGTTAAGGGAACAGTTAGAAATTTCATTAGAGAAACTGATTTTTTTTTATTAGTTATTGTTGCTCCAGGAATCTCAGGAAAAAAACATGTCAAAAAGGTGCAGTCTCTTGTGTTTGCTTTGCTTCTTCTGATAGATTTTAGAGCTAATGCAATACTTTAATTCTCTACAGGAAAGAAAATAACAATATAATCTGTGATGACTTAAAAGAAGGTGAAAAGCGCTGCATTCCCAATCCTGTTTGTAAATTTGAAGATGTATTTGAGCAATATCCTGATATTATGGCTAACATAAGGAAAATTGGTTTTCAGAAACCTACACCAATTCAGGTACTTCTTCCATTTTGATGACTCTTTAACTGAAACTTAGGAGAAAAACACATCTAAGTATTCGTTGTTTTATGTTAGTCCCAGGCATGGCCAATCATACTACAAGGAATTGATCTTATTGGCATAGCACAGACTGGTACCGGGAAGACATTAGCTTACTTAATGCCTGGATTCATTCATTTGGCTTCACAACCAATGTAAGGACTGTTCACATATTTGAGCTGTTTAGATGTGGATACTTCCTCTTCTGAAATAAGATTTTCTAGTGGGGGGAAAAAATAATAATAATGATCATAATAAATCTGGTGGAAGACGTGTGAATCTTGTAACATGAACTCCTTTATGCTGTAATAACAGGATGTAGCAGTGTATTGTGGAAGTCTAGAGGAGCATAGAAACGTTCTGTTGTCAGATGTGACAGATGTTGTGTAGCCTCTTATACTCCCATTCTTAAGATGTTTTATTGCAGACCCAGTGATGAGCGTGGAGGGCCAGGGATGTTGGTCCTTGCTCCCACCCGAGAACTGGCACTGCAAGTAGAGGCGGAGTGCTTGAAGTACACGTACAAAGGATTTAAAAGGTGATCTCCCTTCTCACTTGTTTAAGTTGCATTTTCTACCATTTGTGACCTAATTCATCTCCTGAAATTGCATTTGTTAAGGAGATGGGGGTGCTAAAAAGTTTCATACTTTCTCAGTTTCTTTGATGTGTGCTTGACTGCCCTCATGGTGAAAATACTACCTGCATGGTTGTGTCTTCTGCACTGCAATTGCATTGCCTCGCATCCTTCTCATATGGACAGCTGAGTAGAGTCTCCTATCTTCTCTTTGGCATGCTTTTAGGTAGATATATACAACACTAAGATCTTCCCAAACCTTGCCACCCTCAAATTGAACAGTTACTTTGAATTCCCAGCTTCTTGTGTCATGCACTCCAGCCTCTTGAGCATTCTGGTAGCTGCTGGCTAGACTTGTGTCAGTCTGGACAGGTCTGGTAACTGAGGTGGAGATACAAAAAGTGGAAATGGTGATGCTTCAGGTGTGATCTTGCAAGTACCAAATAAAGAAGCATAGTGAATTCTCTTAAAAAGCTCCTGGCTGTGTTCTCTGTAATACAGCTGGTTTTCTCTACTCGGAGATTACACTGCTGAATAACATGGTTTCTTGCCCACCTAAGTCTTTTCTGCAAAGCCATCTTCCAGCATGTGGGCCATGAGCCAGGGGGTTATTCCATCCCCATCTTTGCTTTTGTTAACCTGCATGCTTCAGCCCACTTCTGCCTTTTGTGGTCCTTAAATAACTGCCCTGCCCTCTAGTGTATTAACTGCTTCTTTAATTTGGTGTCATCCACAACCTTGCTAAGAGTGCAGGTGTTTATTTAAGCTATTAAATAGACATTGCTATATTCTGAAATCTACTTCTAGGATTCTCTGGTATAGCAGCCTTACCAAATGCAGAGTCATGCATGCTGCTTCCTTCTCAAACATATTTTGTAGAATTCTTAAAGGCCATGTATTAGCCTAACGTCTTACTGGATGTGCTGATTGATTTAACAGTAAAACATGTGGCCTATGAAGGTACTGCTTAGAAAATGATGCATTCTTAACATTCATTTATTTTGGTGTGAATGTCTTCAGATCAGATGTAGCTTAATTGCCAACTTTCCTTCCTTTCACTACTTCTGCAATTTCAGCATAAAACTGTTGCTGTGCTTTTGGGGGGGGGCAATCATTCTTGTGAAGCCCATTCTGTCAGTCCTAACTGTTGTCTTCCTTCCTTTTCATATTTCATGATTATACATCTTAAAATGAAGCAACTTGGTGATACTGCTTTGAGAAAGATAAACTTCAGTCAAACCTTAACCTTCTGTTAATCATTTTATTTTTCAGTATCTGCATATATGGTGGTGGGGACCGGAAAGCGCAGATAAATGTGGTGACCAAAGGTGTGGATATTGTTATTGCTACTCCTGGGAGACTGAATGATCTTCAAATGAACAACTTCATAAACTTGAAGAGCATAACGTACTTGGCAAGTATCTGATACGGGAAAGTAATGCATCAGCTGGGAAATGGTGGCTTAGTCTGAACTGAAGGTTCAATTTGCTTTTCTTTAAACATTCTGAATCTCAACTGAAACATCGAGATTGGTGCTGGGGAGTGGTTTGTGCTTACTGTGACCGTGTTGAAGATAAAGGATATTCCCTGGAGGGGGGAAAAAAAAAAAAGGCTTCTAGAACAGTAAGCATTTCAAAGATGATGAATTATTATCTGACACTAGTAATCTTTGTGGTTTCAAAGTTGATTTTGTGAGTTACCAGTAGATGAAATGCCTTTCCTGAGTTGGTTTTTCCTCTTTTAAAAGTTGCTAATGACTCAATTCTTAGTAGATAAACCAGTTAGGTACTTGTCAGTTTGGGTGACTGACTTCTTTTCACTTCAGTGGCAAAATAGCCATACCAATACCATCCATGGGTTCATGTGCTTTTATTTCCTTCTTGCTTTTGGCTTTGCTGGACATTTAATTCAATTACTATTTTGTAAAAGATTTCCATACGTTTACGTTATTTGTATGTTTGCTTAATTGTTGCCTTATTGCCTAGTCTGACAGTTTGGCCTGCTTTTCCTCCTTTATCTGCCCCTCAGTTCCCAAGTGCTGAATACTTACCGTGCTTTACAAACGAGCTCCAATTCTTGCTAATGTTGAGCTCCCTGGCAGAACCAGTGGTGGTGTAGCACCATGAGACACAGCAGCCTTATTTTAGAGATAAAAGAGGGGTATTTATTTTTACATTTGACATCATGGACATAGAACACTCTTCATTAAAGAGCTTTATTTATGATTTGCATGTAAAGATACTAATAAGGCTTGTGAATTCTCCCCAAGTGCAGTGCTGTTATTATGCAAATGTTTCGCATAGGATTTCCGAGGGAGAAAATCCACTCAAGACAGTATATTATAGCTACTGTTATGTCTTCTCTGTTTTGGTGGGGGTATTTGTTGGTTGTTTTTTTTATCTAAAAACCAACCCACAAGTACCCATTTTTAGAGATGATTAATTATATTTGAATATATGTTATACACAAGGTGAGCTGGAAGCATCAGGCAATTTGTCTACTCTGACAGAGACATCGAATTAGTTGCAGTCTTGAGTCAATTTTTTAGAAATCCAGTCAGGTAGGCTGATGTTTTCCCATAATTTCTGAGGAAGCACTGGGAAATGGGTTATATACATCCTTTTGATTGTTTACAGTTCATATGTCATTTCAAGATGGCATTCTGTCTTGCTGTGTTCAGGATAAATTAGTATTCATTTGTCAGTGATTTGAGTGGGTTTTTTTCTATTGTAAGAACATTGGAACTTTGTATGAATAATTGGGACACTGATTGGGGAGAGAATATAGTAGAAAAAATAGGTAGTCTATAAACTAGGATATAAAAGGTAAATGGGAGCAATATTTTCATTTTTTTAATTACTTTAAAATATATACAAAAACAGAAAACTTACCCATAACTGATCTAATTTAAAAAAATATTTTGTGTGTGTGAAGTGGCCTGCAAGAATTACTTGCCAGGAAAAATAACTGAAATGGTATTAGCAAACAAGTAAGCGTGTATTGATAACAAGAAGTCTAAGATGTTCTCAAGTGAGGATGAGGGTTCTGTTTCCAGTAGCTGTACTAAAAGCTTTCAGCTCCCCTCCTCTCTCCCCCAGTGAAATAAGTTTGAGCTTGGAGAATGTTGATATCCAAGTGTGAGCCAAAAGGTACAGTCTGTCTTTTTTCCTAGTTCATATAAGGGTTTGAGTTGGTACATTTCTAATAACCTTCCACTGAAAGGATATTGTGTAAGGTCCCCCATTATGTTGTATGAGTGTTTTAGAAAACAAACCAACAAAAGCTTTAAGTATACTCCTTTATTGACTTCGTGTTCTCAGAGATTTTATGGATTTTTCTCTTGTTCTGTCTGCAAATGTACTAAGTGAAAAAGCCCAAAAGAAACTGGAGGGGTGTAACAAACTGAACAGGTTTTGTGATAAATTAGGAAATGGTTTCTGAAATACTGTTACCATTAAAGTGATCTGCTATGAAATGTCTTGCTGAAACCCTTACTAGAAGAATAGATGCAAACTCCTTGTTCTAAGCAGGTTTTAGATGAGGCTGACAAAATGCTGGATATGGGATTTGAACCTCAGATAATGAAGATCTTAATAGATGTGCGGCCAGACAGACAAACTGTTATGACAAGGTACGTAAATGGAGTAGTGCTCTATGCTTAAGGTTATTGAACAAGTGAACAATGAAACACATACTATTTTACTAACAACTTTCGGTAGCCTACAAGGGAATTGCTTCAGGTTTATTTTATCTATCTGTGTCTAGTTGGTGCTGGTGAATCTTCTGACAGTTGCATTTTTTTTCCCCCTTTTGAGCTATTTTCCATCAACTATAGAAATGATGGTATTTTTTCCAAAAAAGGAAGGTGACCTGGGAATGCTGTGAAGAATGTTTTGAATCAGAGCTACTGTTTCAGAGAACAGTCTTAGAAGCTTTTGAATTAAAACTTTTTGAGCTACTAAACAATGTATTGTTTTCATTGGAAAGGCTGCTGAACTGTTACTCCTGACTTCAATCTGGAATGTTGCCTTGCAAGCAGGAGTTCTGTTTACATTAATAAAATTCTTCAAATGATTTCGAAGTGCTGCAAGAGCTCACTTCTGTTACTCTGTACTCAAGGTTTTCATTGGCATGTAAGGTAGAAGAAACAAGTAGTGTGAAGAGATTAACTGGGTAAGATCTTGTGATGTGTTCTTATCAGTCTTCTCTTCCCATTTAGTGCTACTTGGCCTGATGGTGTTCGTCGCCTCGCAAAATCCTATTTGAGAAATCCCATGATCGTGTATGTTGGCACTCTTGACTTAGCAGTAAGTTCTTTTGTTGTTGATAGAGCAAGGGGGAATGGGCTCAAACTGAGACAGAGGAGGTTTAGGTTACATATTAGGAGGCAGTTCTTCACACAGAGGATGGTGACGCACTGGAGCAGGTTGCCCAAGGAGGCTGTGGATGCTCCATCCATGGAGGCATTCAAGGCCAGGCTGGATGTGGCTCTGGGCAGCCTGGTCTGGTGGTTGGCGACCCTGCATATAACAGGGGGGTTGAAACTAGGTGATCATTGTGGTCCTTTTCAACCCAGGCCATTCTATGATTCTATACATTGTTGTTGTTTTGAACTATCTGCAGTTTGACAAGGAAGTTTTTACTTGGAAGCATGTGCAAGTAAATGCAGATGACTTCAAAATCAGTCTGGACTTTCAAAAAATTCCATGTTATCCTATGTAAAGCTTCAGCAAAAGTTTAGAAAGAACTTTTAAAAATGAAAGTAAAAAGGGCTGATGTTTCTGTAATGAGATCTTGGAGTCCTAGATCTCCAATAGAAGATGTTACAAGCATCAAGTATGAGTCAAATACTTGTATTTGAAAATTGTACTTTGCAGCGCCTCCTGTCTTGCCTGAAGCTTTGTTTCTCCAGCCTTTGGTTTTGTTGAGCAAGCTCTTGTTCCTTTTGCCTCTGAAGGACTTCTTTGTCTTATATACAGATCCTTATCTGGATCTGTCTTTTACCTGCATATTTCCCACAGAGAATGGAAGCTCCTTACTAAACTTCTGGAGGTCACTTGTCTAGGTCAGGAATATGTGGTACTGCAGGAGCTGTCTTTTGAAGTCGGAAGCTTTTAATGTACAGATGTAGTTGTTGTGTTTGTGTAGATATGTGTAGTTTGCTTAAGCGGTGACAGAATTTACAGAAATGTTAGTGGTTCCAAGATCTCTTACATCCTGACGTAGAGATTGCTGTAGGTTTGGCTTAAATTACAGAGTTTTCTTTTTAAGTCTCCCTTTCTTAGTCACAGGGAGTGAATAAACGTGTGGTACGCTTTCAGGTGGAAATAAGGGAAAATGTACTTTTCCTCTGTTATGCTGGCAACTGTGTTTTTTGTCAAGGGCAAACCCATCAACAAGATTGCAATTTGACATAACAGCTATTGCAGCTCTCTTGTCCAGTGTTTTCGTTTCTTATGGAGCCTCATTCAATTGAAGAGGTGCCTTCTGAAAGGGGGAAGGGTTTCCATGTGAAAAGAGACCTGTTCTGTGTACCTGGTAAATTTTGCAGCTCTTGCCATAAGATTATGATGCAGAGCCACAAGAAAGCCAAGGCCTTTGTACCACTTAAATAGAGTCACAGAATATTCCAAGTTGGACGAGATCACTGAGTCCAACTCCTGGCTCCAGAGAGCACCACCCAAAATTCAAAATTAATGTTTGAGAGCAGTGTCCAAACACTGCCTGAATGAGGTTGTGACGACTACCCTGGGGAGCCTGTCCCAGTGCCTGACTGCCCTCTGATGAAGATCCACTTCCTAATATCCAATCTTGACTTCCCTTGGTGCAGCTTCCTGCTGTTCCCTTGCAGTTAGTATACTCAGCCATTCTGTGGTAACCTTCAAATATAATGAAGTGAAGCTTTTTCTAATAAAAGCTGGTGTTTAAAGAATTGGACAGAACTAATCATTGCGAATAGCTGGTGCGACTTTCTTTAAAAGCTTCTCCTTTCAAATAAGCAATTGCTCCAAGTTTCTCTGAACAGGTGTAAGATACTCCAGTTATTTTTTTTATTTTAATTGAACTACTGTACTCTGTTCTAAACCAGTGATAAGAATTCACTATAAATATGTGATTGAGTAAACTACTTAAAGATAAAATTAGTTGCTCTCCCAAAGCAACTGGAATACCAGAAATCTGCATCATTTGAAATCCTAACTGATACACGTTCTAGTTGTAAAATAGTTTTTGTGCTGTTATGTTACTAGTTTTGTAATATTATGTGTGGATAAATAAAAATATTATTCAAATCTGTTTCTAAGTATCCTTTTTAATGTTTAACAGGCAGTAAATACAGTAGAGCAGGAAGTTATTGTTATCAACGAAGAAGAAAAGAAAGCTTTCATGGAAAACTTCATTGATTCTATGAAGCCAAAAGATAAGGCCATCATTTTTGTTGGAAAGAAGTCTACGTATGTAATTAATTCCTAGTATTATATTTGTGGGGTTTTTTTTTGTTTTGTTTTTTAACCAGAGGGGTCTTAGTTCAAATAGTAATTAACAAATATAACAGCTCTTGTCAATAGTGTGCTGGTAATTCTTGTTATCTTTCCTGCGGACAGTTTGACTAGGAGTCAAATTGTTCTTAATATGATAGTAGTGGTGAGAAGTCTCTATCTAACATATTTGGAATAGATGGTAACAATGTTAAGGACACCTTAATATCACTTCACAGAATCACACAGAATGGCCCAAGTTGGAAGGGACCTCAAAGGTCATAATCTCCAACTCCCCTGCCACATGCAGGGCCACCAACTTCCACATTTAATACCAGACCAGGCTGCCCAGGGCCCCATCCAACCTGGCCTTGAACACCTTCAGGAATGGGGCATCCACAACCTTTCTGGGCAGTTTTTGCTTTTCACTGGCATGTGAAGCTGATGTATATGAGACCTGGTGGCAGGAGTGTATTGCTACCATAAGTCCCTTTCTTTTTCCCTCCTTCATACAAGGAATAGGGGAAAAAAAAGTTCAGGTTGACACCTTCTGGTTTATTGAAGAGCTGGAACTAATTTTGCTAGACACAATGTTCTTTCTCTCCTAACCATCAGTGGTTGGTTTGTGTGTCCTTCAGTGTATCTTGGGAGTTCCAGGCTACATTTGAGGGCTTTTTGGAGTTTTCCTCTGAATAGCTCTAAGTTAATACCTAGAAGTTCTCTTGAACAGTCAGCATGGGAAGCTGCTCCTGCTTCCAGCTGATGAATTTTGTTGCTTTGGCTGTTTAATACATGGGTATGCTTTGACAGATATCTAGAAGGGCTTCAGACTTTTGTCTAGAATAATAATGGTGAACTGTGGCTTCTTTTGTGAAGTCTACAGTACAGTTCTGAGGTATGTTAATGCTGAAAAAGGAATACATTTTGTAAGAAAGCATTTAGTTTAAGGCAAATCCTTTAGGAGAGAAGACTGAGTGATCTGGTACTGAAAAAGAAATGCAACTGCAAGTGCTGTATTTTAGCAACGTGTATTCAAGGGAATAGTTGTATATATTACAGCCGTCTGTGTTTATTGTCTATGGAAAAGCTCTTCCTTGCAGTAACTATAGAGCAAGGCTTTTTTTTTTTCCTGCTTTGTGTCTGTCTGTGTAAGGCACATCCATCATAGCTGGTGACATCTTCCCTGCCTTAACAGAGTAACTGTGAGCTCCTGGTTGGGACTTTCTTAACACATAGGTGCCTGTCTTTGCTTTCCAGGTGCACTGTTTCCATTAAAGGCCTTTTCTGATAAGACAGAGAAGGGCTTGAAATAAAAGTATGTGAAGAAATAAGAATGTTCTGTGCTTGTTTCCATGTTGTTTTATAAAAAGTATCACCTGATCTATAGGGTCTTGTGTGCTGTCTTACACATTCACGTATTGCTGGCACGTTATCTTTCTGTTCTGTTATCTTTCTGCTGAACCATTGTTTTATTTCATGTTAGAGCTGATGACGTAGCAAGTGACCTTGGTGTCAAAGGAGTCCCAGTGCAGTCTCTTCATGGTGACAGAGAGCAGTGTGATCGAGAACAGGCTTTAGATGACTTCAAGAAAGGTAGGTTTGGACCTAAACTTGGGCTAAACAAACCAGTGCTTTTAAGGCTTATCATATGCAGAACCTTTTCTGTAGTGTTGTGTCTTTGTTACCATAGGAATGAAAGGATCAGAGCTCTTCATGATTGTGTTTACCCTGTTAATCTGACAAACATACACAAAAGAAACAGCAAGCAAAAAATGATTGCTCTTAAAGAAAAAAATAAAAATGGGTGACTAAGAGTTAAATTTTTTGAAGTCTTATTTTACTTTTGAAATGTATGGGGGGAAATTCTATATTATGTTCATGTAAAGAACAGTAAATTGAAGCATCAAACAATGATGGTTTCAATGAAACAGTTCTCTTGGTGATGCCAGTAGGATTATACTTGAAGATTATTTGGTCACTTGATAATAGAACTAAGAATAGTGGCATGGTAAAGATGCAGGGTGAAAAAATAGTTCCTGAAGCTTCTGAGCTTTTTTTTTTTTTTTCTCAGGGATTTTTTTTTTTAAATCTGCTGGACATACTTCTTGATTTTCCTGCATCTTGCTTACATCTTGTGGAATAGCTAAATGACACTTTGGGTGCTTATGTACCACTTAATAGTGGAAGCAAGACAGTGCAGAAAGCGTGTGTTTCCTTTATGTGTCGAATAGGTATATTATGCACTGGGAAATCAGTGGAGTAGGGTGTGTTTTCTGTATATTTCATAAAATCACATTCTGTTTTGGTGGTTCTTTGTTTAGGTAAAGTCAGAATCCTGGTAGCTACTGACTTAGCTTCCCGTGGCCTTGATGTGCATGATATTACTCATGTTTTTAACTTTGACTTCCCTCGCAACATTGAGGAATATGTTCACAGAGTAGGTCGTACTGGAAGAGCAGGGTAAGTTTTCACAATAAATAGTAATATGTTATTGACTAACATCAGTATATTGTGCATTTTCTAGGTGTTTCTGTTGTCAAATTCTAGAGCTACAAGTGATAGAGAATGGGAGAGTGAGGCTTCAAGATGCGCCAAAGTATGCTTTCGTGTTTTGAAATCCAGTAAAATTTTGAAGGCAAACAAGGTCTCTGGTTTTCTGTTTCATTTAAGCATTGGGAATGAAGGATGTTTGAAAGCTGGTTTATGTGTGGGGGAGACTGAACAGGTTCAGAACACTTTTGTACAGGTATTCTGTAATCCTCTTCCTTGTTTGTGTTTTCATGAGCTGCTGCTTAGTTTCCTAGTAAGCCCACTGGAGAAAAGAAATGGGAGGGGCTTGAAAGGAACCCTTGGGTGTCTGCAGGCTGTCATGGTGGTGTAGTTTGACGTTAGGAGTTCTAGTGCTGCATCCCCAGAGTAACACAAATGTGATAATTCTCTTTGTAAATATGTTATGTGTGTGTGTGCTTCTTTTAATTGTGATATTAACACATCTCTTCATTCTTAAATATGTTGTCTTTGTGCTACGTTTGTCTATATACCTAAATTAGTTCTGCTTTGCTCCAGTTTAGCCAAGTTGCTACACTGACCTTTACAAACAGTTGTTTTGTCATGTGCCAAGTAAATGCTCTAGCCAGATATCTGAAAGCCCATAAACTGCCTGTAGTCAAATCTTACTGTTGAAGTCAGTGGGGAAAACCTAGCAGCACAGATACCCATTATTATGAAGATCAACATTTATTCCATTTCTTTTCTAGACGTACTGGGAAGGCAGTAACACTTGTCACTAAGAAGGACTGGAAGGCTGCATCTGAGCTGATTGATATTCTGCAAAGAGCAAACCAAGTAAGAAAAAAATCTTAATTGTTACCAATGGTTTAAGCCCACTTAGTCATTTACTTGAACCAGAGTTCAGGGTCTGACTCAAGTTGGGAACGTGGAAAGGAGGGGGATTTGATGAATATGAATTTAATTGTATTTATGCAGGACCAGGAGAGTTGTGTGAACATCTGCAGTAACAACCAAAGCTTTAATCCTGGTCTGTCATCTAATAAGTCCTTAACACTGCATGGCTTTCTGATTGGTTTTGTTTATCTCCTGGGGAGAAAAAACCAACAAGGTGAACCCAGTTGTTTGTTTTTTTTTTTTTTAATAGGATAGTATAACTAGGAGCAGGTCTTGCAGTTCAGGAAAGTTGAGACCATCTCTGAATCCTTACTTTCACAGATAAAGTTGCAGCATTACTTACCTCATACACCAGGCTTCTTGTTGTGGCTGCATCCCTCGCCTGCTTCAAGCATTGCTAGCTTCAAGGATATCTAAGTTGACTTAGGTGTATCTAAATGTTCAATTTCAGAGCAGTCTTCCAAACTTGTACTGAATCAGTGCTGCTTGCTTGTGACAAACCAGAGGCAGTAAGCAGTCAATCAAATACCACGCTCATATATGCTGGAGAAGCTTGCTCTATGCTCAGGACACTGATTAATGCCTGGACACCTTTCACCTGCTGTATGGCTACTTGTTATAGCAGGTCGTGTAAGCAGTCTGTATTTCTTCATTATCATTGAAAGATGCATTTTTAGATTAAATACAGTGTTTTAATAAGTTATATGTTGCCATCAGAGATGGTGATGCTGGCATACATAGGTAAGCTGAACATCCAGGCACATTGTGCTGATTACTTTTCAGTATACTCTCATGCAAGAGAAAAAAAAAAAATGTGTGTTTTTTTTTTTTTTTTTTTTTGCATCTCCACACAAAAGCAAATCTAAACAAGTTTGGGAGCAGACAAATAAGTTGCATTTTTGTAAAAACCAAGTCCAAAAGTTTTTAGAATTACTTACAACTAAGCATGGCTTTGTGCTGCTTTCTTATCAGGTAGTTCCCGATGAGCTTATTTCAATGGCAGAAAGATACAAACAATACCAAATCAGGAAAGAAATGGAAAAGGATATACTAAGACCTCAAAGAAAGTCATCCAAGTGACTGATCCCTTGAAATTACTAAAAAAAATGTGAGTGATTATAGACATTGTTAGCATCTATGGGCTTGGATTTAGAAGCTTATTTTCTTAGTTGATTATTTTCTGCATCTGTTCCACTTAAATAAAAAGTACTTATAAAAATGCCTTAGGAAAGAAAATGTGATTACCTTTATACAGAAACAAACCTTGTTTTGTGCTTTGAGACTATTTTGGCTTTAACCTAAGGAAAGTTCATGCCGTAGGTATTCGTTGTGTGATGTAACTTCTAAAGCCGTTCTATACTGAATAGAAACAAATATTACAGATTTCTTTAATTATATGCAATACTGATGTTAAGAATGTGACTTTTTTTCTTGCAGAGAACTGGATTACTGAATGTAAACAGTGTTTGTGTTACTTCAAGATACTGTACTTTCACACTGTTGTGCCACATCTGCCAGTGCCATGCGGAAGTATTTCACCGGATCACTTAGTTACGTAAAAGTAACACCACTCTTGAATTGTGCATTTCTTCCTTAAGCCAAAGTGGTGTTAACAAAGCTGTAAAGAGCTTCTTAGGAAAAAAGGACATTTGAACGTCAGCTTTCTTTCTGATAAAGTTCGTTCACATTTTACATGAGTTTCAGGTTCTGTCACACGTGCTGTTACAGGTAACTAGAATCTTTGGAAGTTGTTTTTGAGATGACAATACAAATGGCATTTGATGTGAACTTGTTTCCTTGTGTCATATGAATAAGTGAAAATCTAATAAACTGAATCTAAGTGAGATGAGAATGTTTTAGTAAGGTTGTTCTCAAACAGTTCTGTCCTCCCCATTTCTTTTCTTGTTCATAAGTGAGATGAAGTCCAGCCTTTATCCAATGGCATCCTGGCTTGTATCAGGAATGGTGTGGTGAGCAGGATGAGGGAAGTCATCCGGCCCCTGTACTTGGCATTGGTGAGGCCTCTCCTGGAGTACTGTGTCCAGTTTTGGGTCCCTCAGTACAGAAAGGACATTGAGGTGCTGGAGCAGGTCTAAAGAAGGGCAACAAGGCTTGTGAAGGGCTTGGAGAATATGGCCTATGAGGAGAGACTGAAGGAACTGGGGCTGGTTAGTCCGAGGAAAAGGAAGCTGAGGGGAGACCTTATTGCTCTCCTCAAAGGTGATTGCAGCAAGAGCAGGGTTGGTCTCTTCTCACTGGTGACAGGACAAGGGGAAATGGCCTGAAGTTGTGCCAGGGTAAGTTTAGGTTGGATATCAGGAAAAACTTCTTTACAGAAATGGTGGTTAAGCACTGGAATAGGGTCCCCAGGGAGGTAGCTGAGTCACCATCCCTGGATGTGTTTAAAAACCATTTGGATGTGATGTTCAGGGACATGGTTTAATGAAGGGTTGTTAGAGTTAGGGTAGTTAGGTTATGGTAGTAGGGTAGTTAGGGTAATATGTTTAGGTTGTGGTTGGACTTGATGATCAAGGTCTTTTCCATCCTGAGCAATTCTGTGATTTTATGGTAGGTATTTTGCCTTTTTTTTTTAAAAAAAAAAAAAAAAAAAGCAGGCTAAAAATATGGACTTTGCATGGCTTCTTCTAAAAATAATTATAAAAATAATAAAGCAAAGCAGTTCTGAAGTGCTGTGTATTTATCATTCTCACATCAGTACCAGGAAATGCTACAGTCCTTTCCTAACATGTATTCAACATAAGAAGAAAATGAGCTGAACTCTCCAACTCTGGCAATGTCAGTCAAGCTGAATGTTGGTTTTGATAGCCTTTTAACAGGAAGGGTATCCTCTTTGATAATGGATTGAAAAGGTGCATTTCTTTCCATGCAGATGTTCATTGGTACAGTAACTTTTGTATGCTGGTTAATTTTTGCTTCTCTTGCCAATTGCAATGAAAAGCCTTTTTTCCAAAGCAATTCTGAAGATGTGGGAAAGATCAGGTAATTCAGGAAGTTAATATGGCTTTTTTTTTTCCTTCCCTAACTTGAAGTCATGGAATTCATGTCTGTGCAATTAATTATTGCAAATTCTTACATATGTTCATAGTATGATTTGAAGATAGTTTGAAGGTGATGGCTGCATTTATATAGGAAAGACAAATACTGTCACAACCCATGAAAGGAGAGCTTTGGGGACTACCTGGCCAGCAAGTAGATAGAGATTGCAACGGTGAGTTTGAAGGATTCTGTGGTACACAAGGACATACAGTGGTTGTTTACTAAGGATTCCTGTTTATTGCAGAACACAGATCACTACTACCAGGAACGCTCTAATTGGTATGGCAAATAAGTATGTATTAAAGCTGTTACAGTTATTACCAGGAAATGAGTTTATGTGTATATATGTACCAAACACTAAAGATACCCACTAATAGCAGCAAATAGTAGAAAGGCAATATGAGGTAGGATAATCAGTACACAGCAGCAGAAATGATTTGAGGATTATTAATCTCAATCTTAACTATAATTATTATGACAATGAAAATACTTCTTGATTGCAAACTTACCAAGACTGTAACAGCAAGCAGACATGATACATTATACTTGCATACCATAGTTTATCCTAAGCATAGCTCAGATAACATAGAATAATCCAGGTTGTAAAGGCTTTCCCTTGGGAGCCTGTCCACAGGGAAGGTATTTTCAACCTGGATTTTTCTATGCTGTTCCAGGGCCTGACCACCTCTGGTGCAGACCTTGTCCCTGACCCAAGCTGCCCCTCCCCTGACGCAGCTCCTTGTCATTCCCTCAGGCCCCGTTGCTGTCAAACGGAGCAGAGCTCAGTACTGCCCTTCTGCTCCCTGTGAGGAGCTGCAGCTGCCATCAGGCCTCCCCTCAGCTCCTCTGCTCTGGGCTGAGCAAACCCAGGGACCTCAGCTGCTCCTGGTACACCTTGCTCTCCAGGCATTTTGGCACCTTTGAAGCCCCTCTTTGGATGTTCTCCAATAGTTCTGTCTTTATGCTATGTGTCTCGTGCCACACCAACACACAGTGGGGCCGTCCCTTTCCTCTCCTGGCTGGCAGTGCCAGGCCCGATGCACCAGTTGGCTCTTTTGGCTGCAAGGACACCCTGCTGAGTCAGATTCAACTAAAACCTCCAGATCCCTTTCTCTAGGTCTGCTTTTCAGCCTGTTGTTCCCCAGTCTTTACTCCATCTCACGTGCAGAATCCTGCACTTGCTGTTGTTGAACTTCGTGCAGTTGATGATTGCTCAGCTCTCCAATTTGTCAAAATTTCTGTATGACGTCTCTGCTCCAAGGAAGTCAACAGCTCCTCCTAATTCCATATGCCTAGTAGGCATTCGATTCCTGTATCCAGATCATTTATAGAAGCATTGAACTGGCCCCCAGTTTAGGCTTTCATGCTTTCCTCACTGCAGCCACCTTTCAGGTAGTTGTAGAGACCAACAGGATCTTCACATTTTGATTTCCAGTCACTTCACCAGCTTCATTGCTCTTTCCTGCACACACTTGAGCAGCTCAATTTCTTGTAGAATATACATATTATATATATATATATTTATGTAGCATGAGCATCTATATACACATAGGCATATATACACAGGTGTACACACATACATTGAATTTATATGTGTACCAATGATATCTTCAGGATGGCACTGGTATGATGTATTCAGCCTTGCTTCAGGGATGTCTGTGTTCCTAGGCTCTGTTACAAGGCCGAGTTCTCAGGCCTGGTTCTCTTGCTGAATTTTTATGCTGGCAGGTGCCTTCTTTTCTGTTTTAACCATCATTCTATGTTAGAATTTTTCTCATTAGAGTCAGGTTACTTTTTTAACTGTTCCTATCAAATATTAATTCTAATGTCCTGGTTCTCCTAAGGAATATGACTAAGCAATGTAACTGAAACACAATTTTCTGTTAGTGTTCTTGATTTGTTTTGTTTCTCCATAGTATCAAGCTACTAAGAAATAATATGAAGTGCTAAACTTAAGCTTTAAAATATGCAAATCTACTTTACTTGCTTTCAGATAGTAAAAAAGAAGTATTTACAATACCTACACCTGGTGAAATACTGGGAATCCATTGTTCAACTGATAGTTTATTTGTCTTGAAAGGAAGTCATTGCTTGCTTTATCATCCAGGCTGAGCAAGTTGTATTGGGGAATAAAAAAGTGTGGCAGCTGAGAATCTTGCAGACAACGCAGAAAATATTCCAGATATTTCTGAAAACAGTGTTCCAGGTTTTCATACTGCCAGTCCATGTCACTTGGCCAAGTGACGCATGAATGGAAAAAGGCAGTTTTGACATGATATGAACAGAATTTGTCCAATTCTTTTGCGTGTTTCATTTTGAGTTGCTCTAGAAGATACTTCAGAAGTTTGAGACAATCTTTCCTGTTAAATAAGAGATAATTGCATACCTTTAGTAGTCAGTTCTAAACATGTATTTTAGATATTTAAATACATGTTATAAGTAAAGCAATTAAAATATTCTTACCGTAATAGATCATTTTCAGTAAGGTTTTGAATAAAATCTGAAAATAAGTACAGCAAAAAGGTGGATATTCCTATCAGTACTGCACACGAAGGCAGACTAGCAGTGAAAGATTTCTCCTGTAAAAAATAGTTTTGATGCATGAACCACTTCCACTGGTGGCCACAGTGGCACAGGAATACGAAGTGTTGATCAGCACAATGCTTGGACGATTATGATCTTCTGCAGGTGCTACCAGTATAACGTGAACTTGGAGCACTGCTTAAGATTAAAGCTGCACTTTGGGTTTGGATTTACACTGCAGGCACTACCAGTGCCTTTCCATGGCACTCTGTGAGGTGAAGAGGTGTAGTTCAGTACACGGCTAGGCAAGGACGCAGCGTAGCTCATACTACTCATAAAGCAAAGATCAAGAATGATGCATTAATACCCTTCTGGCTTTCCTGATTCTGTAAACCAAAAAGTGGTTTTGCCATAAAGTAGGTTCTGTACCTGATGAGGTTTTGGTTTTACTCTTCAAAGAAATGTGGAACCAATCTTTATTAGAGTGAAAAATCACATTTATCGATCCTGATCCCACTCAGTTCTTTTCTCACCCTCATTTAATAAATTGCTTTGCCACAAAGTGTAATTTGCTTATGAAGCTGAGTCAACAGACTGTGGAGCTAGTATTTCTGAAGATGACTGATCTGGGGAAAGATTATTTGGCAAGGCGCATCTGCTTGTTTGCCAGGCAAATCTGGAGCATAAATCTGCAAAGTAATTTGTTGCTTTTTTAGCAAATGCACGTCACATGTGTCCAGTGGGCATGTGCAAGCTTGTACTACTCTGGAACAATGATGCAAGAGTTAGTGATTAAAAGCCATATTCTCACTCCCTATTCTAAATAATTACTCACTGACCAAATTCTTAAATGTTAAACTGAAATAATGCTGGACAAACTAGCTTAAAGCAAAATATTCATATGAGATACCAACCGACAACACTTCACTCCATCAGATTCACAGCACGTCTTTATGCTGCCATGGTTGTTCAGCATGGCCTTCTCGATATGCGAGAAAGAGAGTCGCCAGGTGTTTCCTAAAGGAGTGAGAAGAAGACTTAAATAGTTACACAGCAGTAAATATTGGTGTCTGTATCTAGAAAGAAAAAGAACAACTCTTAATTCATCAATTACTACAATTAGTTCCTTAATTTCTTAACCACTTCATACTAACAAGATTGGAACACTATAGTTACAAATAACTGCGTAGGCCTGTCTGGATGCTTTCTTTATATTCTCAAGGATGTTTGGGTTCAGTTTTTTAAATTAAACTTAATTCTTAGCTTTCCTGAATTTGTTGAATGTGATTTGGGGAATAATTGTGCTACCTATAGAAATCTACTGCCGTTCAATTTCTGCTCTGTATTATTAAGCCTTACTGCTTAACCATTCTGGTTTTGAGTAAACTAATCTTGGAGATCGGTTTAAATTTCTCTGTGCAAGCGACTGAGATTATCTCAGCTAACTCTTGTAAAGCATTTCTTTTTATTCTTCTGGGAATGCTTGGAAACAGTGATTAATGCAGCTCAGCCCCCTGTTTTTAAAACATCAACAATCATTTTTTTTCTTCCTTACCTAAATCAGACTGTGTCCCTGCCTTTTTTGGTTTGATTACTATTTGCAATTAATTTTCACTGGGACAGAGAGCCTAGCAGAGCAGTGGTGGTGTACCTGGCACTGGTAAGGTAAGTGTGCTAACTAAAAAATATACCCAGTTGCCAGAACTGTTTCTGCTGGAACTACCAGTTCTTCTCATACAGTGCCAAGCTGGGATGTTTCTGCAAACTAATGCAGGCATGGTGAGAGTGCTCTGGGGGAAAACAAAAACAAACAGCAGTCATCTTGCAGCCATACCAAAGTTCAATGAGGAAATAATCTATCTTCAATAGTTTACTTCCTGTAGAAGTATAAAACTTATGTATAATAAGTGCTATTTTCAGGGATGTTCTGAGTATTTTTATACACCTCCTTTAATTTTTTTCTTTACAAAGGAGTGGATGCTGCTGTTCAGTACAGCACTACTACAGGAAAGATACTCATCTGTCTGATGGAACAGATTTAAAATAATGCTGTTAGGGCTGGTTACTGTACTGTCTGTAGTGCAGTTATCAGCTTTAGATTTCAGCACAGGATAAGCACTGTCACCAGGCTGGTTAAAGAGGGTTTTCAACGACGATCTGGATGTACCCAGGATAAAATAGAGGTCTGTATCTTGAAGGCAGAATACTGAACAGAATCTGAATACCCTTTTTATGGCATTTATCAAGTGGTATCAAGTTGCAGAGAAAGTAATTCTTAACTTAAGCCTCTTATCTGTATTTGAAGTACCTCTTAGAAGCTTTTCTTTTTTGTTTTGCTTGGCCACTAAGTAAATTGGTTTATGTCTGAACTCTCTCCTGACTTTTCTTCCCAGCCAGCATTCTATGTTGAGGCCATCCTGTGTGCTGGGAGGCCAGCTCTGCTGAACTTCCAAAGCCAAGATAATGTCCAATGATATTTCTGCTGGAGGCTTTTTGATCTGTAGAGTTATTGCAGGGCTTCCAGGCTTTTTCCTTTTCACAGTTACTTCCACATCTAGTAACAAAAAAGAAAGTAATCTTTTTTCGTAACAGAAGAAACACTTTTTGGGAGTTATTAAGATATTTACTGAATAGGCATTTGTAAATGGTCAGAATCCTCAAGCATTTTATCCTGTAGGATTTGTGAAATGAGTATAGTGGGTTTTTTTTTTAATAAAACAGTAAGGAGGCCAGCTGAAGCCTCCCTCTACAAAACAAGAAAAGCTCTTCTTTCATGATTTATTTTTAATATTTTGACTCTATTTTAGATGTCTTCTGTAGACTCGGTAATGCTTTCTAATGAACAGGAACGACTAGAGAATGTCAGATGACTGTGGAAAATGTTTAGATTAGAGATTTGTCCACAACTTGGCCGAAGGCTTACGAGGATAAGAGCACCCTAAAAGGTAATACGTTTTATGGGTAGCTAAGAAGTAACATTAGATAATGCATTATCTGACTCAAGTAATGTAATTCCTTCTGCTGCTCTGGTGTATTCGTGGTGATTTTTAGAGTAAGTGCTCAAGATAACCGGAAGCGAAACCTCATCTGCCCCTGCTATGTTGCCATGAAGAGATAAGCGAGGGGAAAGGTACATATTGCATATGTGGAATGCAGGTGCATTATTAGCGTTCCTGAGTGAAACCTGATTGCGCAGTACTTACTTTTAATGTGTTTTACTTCCTCTTTAATAATTCGTCTCAGTTCTTCAAGCATTTTAAAGGCTGATAATTTTCCATCTTCATCTAGAAACCTATTCAAATACTTCTCTTTTGGATTTCTTTTGAATGTTAGATAATAATAGGCTCCAGTGTCATCACACTCATGTAGTTGCAATCTTGTGACAGGCATTACAAGCATGATATCAAACTCATTGGGTTCAGATATCTGCAAAGGACAAGAATACATGCACCAACTTGGGTTGTAATGCGTTTAAGCTTTTCAGCTAAAGCTGAAGCTTTACCTACAGCTGCCTGCATGTATTTTCCACAGCTGGAGTGAAACATTACCTTCTTTCTGATGGATTTGTATTACCAGAATGATGTGCATTCGTGTGCAGAAGAGCAGTTTACTGACACCACTTCCCCAGTGGTCACAGCTCCAAGCTGCTGGAGGTCAAGCAGCCATTGAGCACCACCATCTGGTACAGCGTCACAACCACTCCCCTGTCCTGTGACCAGCCATGGAATCACAGTATCCTTACAGTTGGAAAGACCCTGAAAGGTCATCTAGTCCCACTGCCCTGCAATGAACAGGGACACTGACAGCTAGAGCAGGTTGCCCAGGGCTTGGCCTTGGAACTGCAGGGCCGGGACATTCATCACCTCCCTGGACAACCTGTGCCAGTGCCTCACCACCCTCCCTGTGACAGACCTTTTTCCTTATATTCGACCCAAATCCAACCCTCCTTAAAGGTAAGGTTTAATTAAACCACTTTCCCGTGTGCTATCAGCCTCTGCTATAGGCTCCGTCCCGTTCTTTCCCTTATAGCTCCCCTTCTCCAAGCTGCCCAGCCGCAGTTCGCCGGCCTCCGCCCTAATCTGCGCCAGCCCTGCACGCACCTTGACGCGCTCATAGTAGCTGCCGGCTCCCAGCCTCCCGATGGAGCCGAAGCTGCCGTCCCTCCCTCGGACGGCCTGGATCAGGTGTGACACGACGTGGTTCACCAGCCCCGACGCCTCCGACACGTCCTGCCGGCCCAGGCTGAGCTGCGACAGCACCTCCCGCAGCCGCGGCCCGCCCGCCGCCCTGCTCCGCGCCGAAAGCGTTCGGAGCACCGCGGGCTCTCCGCCCTGCGCCGTACGGCGAGGCACGACCGCGCGGGAAGCCTCGTCCGCCGGATGCTCGTCGGCCGATGCTTCCCGCGCGGTCGAGCCGCGCCGGGCGGCGGTGCCTCTGCCCCGCGAGGAGCGAGGCTGGGCCGCTCTCTGCCTCCGCTGCCCTCTGCCCGCCGCGGTCTCCTCCATGGGCCTCCCGCACCCACGCGGAAGCGAGCGCAACTCGGCGGGAAGAGGAGTTCCTCTTCCAGGCAACGCCGCAGCTCTCGGGAAACCAAAACTCCCGCCAGGGAACGTGACGAGCAGCCGCTAGGGGGCGCCCCGCGCCACGCCGCGCTGCCTGTCGGGCTGCACACCGCCTCCCGCCCGCCCCGCGCTTCCCGTTCCGGCCTCCCGCCGCCGCCATGTTGGCGCGTAGAAGTTGGCGCCGCCTGGCGCTGCCCGCGGCCCCGCGGTCCGAGAGGCGCTGTGCGGGGAGCGCGGCCCCGCGCTACGAAGTGGTGGTGATCGGCGGCGGCCATGCGGGGACGGAGGCGGCGGCGGCGGCCGCTCGCGGCGGGGCCAGCACGCTGCTGCTCACGCACAAGATCGGCACCATCGGTACCGCCGGGGGGCGCGGGGCCGGGCGCGGCGCGGCCGCTCGCGGCGGCGGTGCTGAGGGTGACCCCGTGTGCTTGGCGCAGGAGAGATGTCGTGCAACCCTTCCTTCGGCGGCATCGGGAAGGGGCACCTGATGCGGGAGGTGGACGCCCTGGACGGGCTGTGCGGGCGGATTTGCGACGTGGCCGGGGTGCATTACAAAGTGCTGAACCGCAGCAAAGGTCCGGCCGTGTGGGGGCTGCGGGCGCAGATCGACCGGCGGCGGTACCGGGACGGCGTGCAGGTGGGTGTGCGGCCTCTGCGCTCCGAAACTAACGCCTCCTATTTACTGACGGGGAAGCCGTAGGAGGTACAGAGAGCACTGTAACGCTGTTTGATAGAGCAGATTCTCAGCTACAAAACGCTGTTTTTCAGAGCGGTCACCGCCACTAGCTTTGTGTTTTTGCTAGCTGTGAATAAGAGGTGACCCAATGTGGCTGAAACACACCGCTGTGCCCACATCCACTCTTTGGTCTGCTTAAATGCAAGCAAATGTCGATGAATGTCAGTGAGTACCATTTTATCTACGTGGAGCAGTTCAGTGACACACCTTTCTTTCATACACACTTCCATGTCAGGCACCATGTTGTCAAGACTGCCCCTCTGCTACCATCTGTCACACAGCAACGACATGGAATGGAATCTTGGCGGGAAGGTTCACCCTCTTCTGCCATACCACCAACATCTGCCTCTGACGAAGTGAGCCAGCATAATAAGCTAAGAGGCATTGCTTTCAGAGCAGCCCTCGTTTGAAAAAGAGATGCAGCCAGCGGTGATGTGGCTTCATGCAGAGCAGGATGAGGTCTGCAGGAGCACTGAGGTGTGGAGCAGTGCTGCACAGGATGGTTGCAGCAGTGTGTGCAGCCCCGAGGCCACTTAGAAATTAAAGTGCTAATGTGGGGGGTCCAGTGTTACTTTTTGGGGGTACACCAGCTACCAGTGGGGATATCAGTGTGTTACAGTTGGGTAATAACAGCAGGATGGGGTTAAAAGAAAGCCAGGAGTGATGACTGGTTCTAAAATGTGGTTTTAGAACAAGGGAAGAAGTTGACGGATGTGTTAGAAATTGGTGTGGTCTGGAACTGCCCAGATGTTTCAGAACTTGCCAGATTTTTGTGGTAACTCCTTTCATGACAGAAGGAAATCCTGAGCACACCCCTGCTGACAGTCCGTGAGGCCTCTGTGGAAGACCTTCTCCTGACAGAGCCAGAAGCAAACCGCCCTGGGAAGTGCCAAGTCACAGGCGTTGTTCTGGGTATGTATGGGTACCGCGGTGAGCAACCTTGGGCACTGTATGCTAAGAGTAGCTGCAGGTTAAATGTGTCTGATTCATCTGTAAGAAAGCTTGTTGAGCCAATAGAGGCACTTCAGGCTGACTGCAAATTAAACTGTGTTAACATCTGTAGCACAATGGAAAACATCACTGGATTGATTGGGCGTTCAGAGGTTGCATGAGCTTAATCTTCCTCAGACTCATGATCCTGAATTCCATGCTATGTTTGAGATCTTATTTGGCAAACAGAGTGTGCTGCAGATAACACTTCTGGACAACAGTGTCCTGTTACAGTGCAGTCTTGTGCCTTGTTACCTCTTGCTGATCTTGTAAACAGGAATTACAAAATAAGGACCTGGTCAGGAATATTATTCGGGAGCGGAACTTCTTTGGGTGAAATGCTTGGAGAAATAAAGAAAAAAAAGAGTTACTGTACACTCTGCTTATTGCTGTTATTGCTGTTAACATTGATGCTATTGAAATGCCAAATAATAAGAGATGTGTGAGCCCTGAGTAAACAGCAACAATTTAGTTTGGAGCAGAACCACTAGAGTACCAGGGCTTCAATGACAGTAAACTATGTGCATCTCTGAACATGCTGTTTCAGGGGATGGTAGCACGGTGTGTGCTGGGAGTGTCATCCTGACTACTGGGACATTTCTGAGGGGTATGATCCTCATGGGGCTGGAGACTCATCCTGCTGGGCGCCTGGGAGACCAGCCGGCTGTGGGGCTAGCCCAGACTCTGGAGAAACTGGGATTTACTGTGGGCAGGCTGAAGACTGGGACACCACCCCGCCTGGCCAAAGACACCATCAACTTCAGTGGTCTGGAGGAACGTGTACCTGACAACCCTCCTGTGCCCTTCAGCTTCCTCAGCAAGGCTGTGTGGATCAAGGTGGGATAGCACATGGCAGGTGCAGGGGTAGATGGGCAGTGGACTGGGGAGGTGGGAAGTGCAAGCTAACGTAGCCAGCGAGGTGGTGTAAGGACTCATGTGGCTGGGAATCACAGAAGTTGGAAAATTAGAAGTTTCCATAAGGTTGGAAAAGACCTCTTAGATCATCTACTCCAACCATCAACCTATCACCACTGTGCCCACTAATCCATGTCCTTAAGTGCCACATCTGCTCTTTCCCTGAAAGCCCCTGAGGATTGTGACTCCACTCCCTCCCTGAACAGCTTGTTCCAGCACCTGACCACTGTCAAAGAAGAATTTTTTCATCTTAATCAACCTGAACCTCCCTAGCATAACCTAAGGTCATTACCACTCATCCTATGACTGCTACTGAGAACAAGAGGCCAACTTGCATGACGCTACAACCTCCTTTCAGGCAGTTGTAGAGTCATAGAATCCTCAGAGTTGTAAGGGACCTTTTAAGGTCATCTAGTCCAGCTCCCTTGCGACAAACAGGGACATGCATACCTAAATCAGGTTGTCCAGGGCTTGATCCAGAGCTTATAGGAATTGCAGTAACCTTTTGTAAATGGGGAGCAGAGAGGTGGTAATATCATTTGAAGTCCTACGTATTTGTTGGAAAGGTTTTAAGGAGTTGAAGTGTAACATTTATTACTGTTTTGAACATGTCTGTCAACTCTTTTCCAGAAAATAATTGTAAAGTATTCTACATAGTGTTTTTCTTTCCAGAACATGAATTTACTACGTCAGTTGCAAGATGTTGAGAGGTTTCTTTAGTCTTCACCAAACTCTTCAAACTTCAGAGCTTTGAATTCCTCCTGCTAATGTGAAAGGGTCTGTTACTTTTATAGGAATGCCCATCCCGTGATTAGGAATGCATTTCATAGCACAGAATGCAGATCCCTCACATTCTGAAGTTTTGTTCTTTTCTTTGTTTTTGGGCACGTTGCTCACGTTCTCTGATTACTTCTTTTCTGTACAGTGGGTAAGACGGCACAACCCAGCTCTGTAGCAACTGAGAGCAAGTTGTCATGAAAAAGCCCTTGAAGATCCTCAGAACAGAGTTGTTCGGTGAGAGAGCAGGGTATTGTGACTGGATTAATTTACAGAGAGTTTTGGCCTCTTTCAGCCAGAAGACCAGCTGTCATGCTACCTGACTCACACTAACCTGAAAGCTCAGCAGATTGTCCTTGATAACCTCCACTTGAACGACCACGTGAGGGAGACAACAAAGGGCCCCCGGTAAGGATGTGGCACCATATGAAGCTCTTAATGGTATGAGTCTCTGAAGCTGTGCATCTCCCTTGCTTTGCCTCTGGAAAACTACCTTTAATCCACCTTAGATGATGCTTATGGCTGTTTCCTGTTGCAGATACTGCCCCTCTTTTGAGTCGAAGGTGCTGCGCTTCCCAAACCGTGCACATCAGGTCTGGCTGGAGCCTGAAGGCTTGGAGTCCGATGTCATTTACCCCCAAGGCCTGTCAATGACGCTGCCACCTGAGCTCCAGGAGCAGGTGATCAGGTCTATCCCGGGCTTGGAGAAAGCCAAGATCTTGCAGCCAGGTAAGGGGGTAAATAATTTCAAATCTATTTTTCACATCATTATCATTTAACAAAGAAAAAAAAAAAAAGATTTTCTTTGGAGTCTAGCAAACCAAAGTAAATATGAAAGAAAATTATTTCTTGAATGCAGGAATTTCTCCTTGGTTGTTTCTAGATTGTAAATAAAAGTTGATAACCTAACTCATTTTGTCCCACTGATTGTCTTTGCTGATAAGTTAGGACCTTCCATTTCCCTCATTAAGGTCTGTCTTCTCGTTTGTCGTAGGCTATGGAGTGCAGTATGACTTTTTAGACCCCCGTCAGCTGACTGCTTCTCTTGAGTCTCGTCTCGTTCAGCGGCTCTTCTTTGCAGGCCAGATAAATGGCACCACGGGCTACGAGGAAGCTGCAGCTCAAGTGGGTGAATCAGATGGCATTTACTCTGTGCTCAGAAAGGGATGTTAACTTGCTGTTTGTCCTTGATACGCATTGAAGCAGGCCTGTCTTGTGCTAATGAGTTGTTTTTAATTTTGTAGCTCATCAGAGTTGCACAGATATCTGCAATTGAGTTACCAATGTTGCAGTAACAAAAGCAATTGTAAGCTGTGACACATGCTGCTGTGTGGAGTCTGTGCAATGGGTACAATTGCAGATATGTTGGAACATGTTTCTTGTCACTAGGCATGTCAGCAGGGGCTGAGTTGTTCAGACCACGGTAGTATTGCATAGAAGAAACTGCCTAGATTTCCAGCCTGGACTGGTTGCATTCCCAAGGTGCAGCAGTACTTAGAATCATAGAATTCTCAAGTTGGGAGGG